CCACATGCTCTGGCCCTTTCCGGCTGTTGAATGACTTTGATTTCTGTGCCATGTCAACAGGGACGGTAAGACGGGATAGAAAGAGAATTTACCATATGTAAGCTCCCTGCCATCTTTTGTAATCCTGTTCATTGAAGCTTCCGTCTCATTTTTTACTGGCAAGATGGCTGTAGCCATAGTACCGCTCATCCGAGGCACACTTGCCGAATGCTCTGGAATGATCTGGTTTCTAGGCGTGCTATAGACTCAATTGCAGGCAGCAAGTCGATGTTCCACTTGTAAACTTGTCTTGTATGGCGGAGGTCGGTAGTCGGTCGTGGAGAGGAAGAGGGTGATGCCGGGCGCAATGAGATCCAAGGATCCGGTTCTTGGGTCGCTGGCAGCCGGCCGACAGGATTGCGGGAAAAGTTGTCGAGCTGCTGGGCCTCGGGACCTTGGAAAAAATGCCAAGCAAAATAGGTATGTAGAAGGGAAGGTTTGATATAAGGATGATGGTGGTAAATGTGTCGCTGAAACGTGCGAGTTTGCGTGGTTTAATGGCCGTGGTGGTGGTGGTGGTGGAGGTGGAGGTGGAGGTGGAGGTGGAGGTGGAGGTGGATACTAATATTTTTGGAGAAATGACAAAAGGATAAATTTAATAATGTGTAGGACGAGGTATGAGGATTGTGGAGATGGGAGATTGTCCAGTAAGGTAAAAGGTAGTAAGAGTGACGCAGATTTTGAACCGGGCCCCAAGCAAAAGGCTTTCCCTTCCCCTAGATTTCCCGCAAAAGCTTAATTAAATAATTCTTGACAAGCTCACAACAAGCAACACAAGCACACCAAGCAAATCCAAGCACTTTCAAGCTCAGATTGTTGCCAGATTGCATGCCACGACGAGCATGTCGCGTCTGAAAAAAAAAGAGAAAGGAAAATGGGATGCAGAATGCAAAAGAATGCCTTTGATAGAAGAAGAAGCTGGAGAGAAGGGAAGAAGGGGAGAGGGGGGGGAGGGGCCCCCCCAATCAGCCATTAGCTGCAAGCCTGCACACCTCACACCCACGCAGACTCACAGCTCCATCCAATCAGAGAGGGCGGAGAAAGGAAGAGGATTGACTATGGTAAAGTATGGTAAGTCTGGGATAAAGCAGCCTGGATCGTGGAAGAGGCGCAGGCTCGTGCAGACAACTAAGTGACGCTACGACAGGTTCCCACTAATCAAATGGTTTGGGGAGCACTACTCCCTGGTGCTCCCGCTGTTTCCCAGGGAAATGTCACTCGCCTTGCCCACCAATCATGTGACTCGCCTGTCAGATGGGAGTGGGAGCGCTAACCTGGTGCAGGGGTTTTTCCTGGGAAAAGCCACCGAGGTCATCCGAGGTCTTCATTACTGTATTATTGTAATATCCATGTCCAAACAGCTCCCGCGCGCTCACCAACGTACGCCGGAGGCTTTGGCAGCCATCTTCTTTCGGCATACAAAGACAAAGCTCTGGCGTTGAGCATCATTACAATTACGGTGGAATATGCGCCATTCTCCCCCGGTCCATTATCAAAACGACGTCGGATTGACAGCAAGTGTAGGTAGATCAGACGGGAAGTCATTTCGCTCTTTTCACCCTCAGACCAACGAGTCAGCCGGATCGACGTGACGGGGTTTCGACTTGTGCTCCATGCAACCAGTAACTTAGGTCTTGACTGGCCGCATACTCAGCCACCCAATGATAAGGTAGCATGGCGCGTTTCAGCGGATCTTTGGACCACGGCGCAAGAGCATTATGTATGAAGCTGCTGCATGACACCCCGATCATCTTCAACATGCTCGGAAATAGTGATATTGATGGATGAAGATTATAATCGGGTACACTGGTTTGGTGGCATTTGGCAGAGACGGGGCAGTAGTACCAAGTAATATTGAAAAAGAACGATAGACTAAGGTTAGTGTACTGCAGCTAAAGAGTTAGGTTGATCTGCCCGTTAAAGGGAAGCTCGGGGTGGAAGGTCAAGGATCATTATTCCCAAATCCCCCAAGACGGACAGCAGTACCTCCCTCCCTCCCCACAAGAGATGTTGGAAGGGCGCGGAAATTCTCCGCCAGCAGGGGTAGTGGTACCAACAAGGTCTGAGGCTTGAGGCTTGAGGCTTGAGAAGGATAAAGTAATGTGATACCTATGATAGAAGGAACGGTAGCAGAATAAATAGCCTAGCAGTGAAACATTTACGACCTAGTCTTTACCAACTGACTCGTAGCACCCCGGGCCCCGCCATCCATGAAAAGTCCGAGTGGTCGCATCGCATAGGCCTCTAGTAAGAAGGATTGCCAAGCCTATCCGATCGCGAGCGTGGATAATCGATATCTTTTGTGTTAAGCGCACCCCACCCACAGTCAGTCAGTTGACTGGAGATTGGAGAAGGCCCCTCCTGCACCTGCTGCAGAAAACCGTTGAACTAACATTCAACACCTAAAGTACTTTTAAGGTAATCGATTGAGAGTGGTGGCACGGGTGGGATGGATTTATTTCGTTTTTCATTTTTTGATGGTGTCATCGGATGATCGGACCGACCTTCCCCTCTTCTTAAAACTTCTTAGCCTGCTTTAGTGGACCTGCTGATTGACTCGTCCAGTGTCCACTCACAACCAACACACTATTCCGACCCTCGGACATTCGATAAGTTACAGACTTGAAATAAGAAAGTGGGTAATGTATGTATGTATGTATGTATGTATATATGTACGTATGTATGTATGTACGTACCTTAGGTATATCAGTTAGCCACCGACCAATCTTTGCCTACATAAATCTGACGCCAACGTGCATGTGTCTACTGGCAAAGGATTTGCTCCGTACGGAGTACATCCTCGTAGAATATCTTCAATCCAGCTACCTACCTAGGCACCTAGGCATGCATGACATAGGAATTTACTCCATGAACCCCACCACCAGAGAGGTTAATATTATCCTTCCCGTAAGGTATGATCCAGATACGTCTAGGTACAGCATTGTAAAGAGAGTACTGAAGGAGAATAGCGCCACTATGACCTTTATTTGAGGTTTGAAAAAAGCCTGTTTGACCCGGCAGTCTTGTTCAATTTGGTGCTTGGCCTCCGGGGAGCTTTCTGTGACCACATAGTTGCCTTCATAGATAGGCTAACCCGAGACATTTCTTCTTTTCTATTCGTCACCTGCTCCGTCTGCACATCCTCCATCTCCCAGATAGCCGTATCCTTGTCTCTCCCTGCAATCAACCCTTAGAGTCGAATGGTTCCAGGGGCTGACGCCTACCATGCCCATGAATCTATCCAACCATGTCCTTTGGTGTCTATCACGCCATCCTCAGCAGGATAAACTTTGCTGCTTACGGGCAGGCACCGTGCTGGATGCCAAAACTCAGCACGACGCTATAATTGAGCATCGTCCAGGCATCGAAGACATGAAGGCCTCGTACCCGTGCATATCTTCTCTATGGCTCTGCCCTCGACAATAGAGTATTTGCCGCGGACAAGTGCTGAGCTGGCGTGTAGCAGTGCCAACAGTGCCAACAGTGCCTTCAACTTTGGTCCATACCACGATTACCACGCCGAACCCCGGGAAAGAGCCACCGACAGGACCTGAGTGTAATGGAGAGAGATAACGGACGTAGTAGAGCGCACAACCGAGAATTTATTCGTCACGGCTTAGACCGGAATCAATGTCGCATGGGCTGCCACTGATCCACTGAACAGCTTTGTAGAAATGACGTGCGGCGCAGAAACCAGATATTTTTACGTCCGCAATGAAGTCCCCTAGGTTGTATTGGTTGCGTCCAGAGACCTCACATAGCGAATTTAGCCATGAAAAGGATGTCGGTCCATGGCAGCGCTCCTTTGATCTTCTACGACCAATACTTTCTTATGGGATAAGTAGACAAGTCTCGAAAACTCTTGGAGGAGAGGAGGGAATTGACAGCTAGGGATAGGAAGTAAGATACCGACTCTGAAGGACTTGAAGAGATGCGGACAAATTATAGAGAATGTAGACTGGTATTTGAGCGTTGCTTTTGGGATTGTAGGCGTAGGCCGGTCACAGCGAGCGAGGAGGGCTTCGGGCCATAGAAGCAAAGAGATGTAGAAGATGTCCGTTCAGCTAGTCTTTTTTTTCTTGAAGGCACAAGCGAGAGAAAAGATGTAAGTAAAGTCCGTTAACATCAATCATTGTCTTGTCAAAGCGATATGCCTTGAGGACTATTCTCATGATGGAAGCGTCGTCTTCGACTTCTGTGTCCGGTCTCATCACACCGCTGTCGCCAATTGCAACACCGGCGCAAGACAACGTGACAAGAACGACTGGCCAGATGTGCACTCATGATTCATGAGTCTGTTCTCAGTGAAGCTGTCAAACTTCCTATCTCACTCAAGTATGGGTCAACACTGAGAATGATTGTTCCGAATGGCAAAGCGTGATGCGTGGAGTCGATTTCTTACGTAGCGAAGTGCATTCCAGACTGAAAGGCTTAGTTGCGCTTAGTGGAGAGCCTCCAGTATTCACGTCAGCTGGGTTGAGGGCTAAAAACGGATCACTGGCGGAGGCAGCATGCCCAAAGATGGCATGGATGTCCGCAAGGATGTTCATGAAGTTGGAGTCGATTGCGGTCCACGATATTTAGACAGATTTTCTCAAAGGCAATGTCAAATCAAATTAGGATCCGTTGAAAAATGTCTTAACTTGGGCCTACTGGCGAACACTGAATGTGGACACCAGATGGTGCTGCTGAATTTTGGCGACAATGCTTCATCCTTTGTTCCTTTAGTGATATCCTCTCATAAAATAAGGGAACAAAAAGCTCAAATGGAAGAAACCTAAACGAATGAAGGCACGAGTATACAGCTGTGTCACTCGGGACTATCTCCCCCCTCCTAATTACAAAATGAAGTCCCAATGAAGGCAAACCCGGAACGCCCCAAACACCAACGCTGGTCGTATGTCTTGGCCTTCGTCTTCAAGGCTGATGTCGTTCATCATTAGTGTCAAGCACTTCGTTTGCTAAGCTATCTCAACCACACGCTCTTGGAGGCGATCCTGAGCATAGTAAAGGGCTTGGCGAGCGCCGTGCAGCGCCTGCGGCACCCGATCTTTCAGCATCGCCACAAGAACAAGAACGAGAAGTGGTATCTGTTTCAGTATTAGACCATCAGATGTGGCAACTATCCGAAGATGATAGCTTACCCAAATGAAGAACAGATTCCGATCTTTCCTCAATCTTTTGACTTTCATCGCGTGTGCACTTCTCAGTTGCTCTGGTGTCAAAATAGTACTTCCTAGGTTGGCTGTCTCGAAAGCAGAGGAGCTCTTCGTTTGATCAAAGGTCTCTTCGCATTTTCTATCCACATATACATCCCCAGTAGCCCGGAGGGCAGATGTCTTCTTATCGCTCAGATCACGTTGTGAGCTCTCCGGATATATCTCATCATACGCTGGCGGTGATGGGGCCGCCCCAGTTAATAGCTCCCACCAGTGGTAATCGGTGACTTTCGCAACTCCAGTGCTCCTGTTTGCTGCGCTTGGTCGTGGATTGCGCTGAGGCACCATGGAACTTATTCGTCTGACTACAGGATAGGCTTGATAGTCTGGGAGGTTAGGAATTGGCGGCAACGCGGGAAGCTGCAAAGTTGGAAGCGTTCTTTGCACAGTTTGTTGAAACTGCTGTATCTGGGCGGAAAGTTGGTCTCTCCAAGCGGACATCGCAGGGTTCACCGCAAGGAAGGGGGTCGTTGAGGCAAGGTTGCCCTGAGAAGGATCGCCCGGATATTGAGACTCGGCGGCAAAACTATTGCGTCTTGTTTGGGCCCAGATCTGAGCTGGTGTCGCTGGCTGACTCATGTAGGCTTCGGCCAAGCCTTCGTCGCCTTCGTCGCCTTCATCGCCGTCTGTAAATGGGCCGTTCATTGCACCCGGAGATGCCACCTTTGAACGAGCTCCTCGAGAAGACTTGTAAGACATCACGCTGCTCGCTCGACTCCAATGCGAGACTGGGGTTGCACCAGCGCTCCTAGGCCGTGCTTGATGGTCGAAGGTGCTGCTTGCGTCGCGAGTTTGTTGAGACGTCGCCATATCAGCTGGAACATAACCATTTAAACTCCGCAGATTTGGATCGCCGCCAGCGGAACGGAGTTTACGGATGATTTGCGCATGACCGCGGAGACAAGCCATATGCATCGGAGTCATGCCGTTGTAGTCTCGCAGATCTGGATTCGCTCCTCGTGCTAGAAGCCCAGCAGCCAACCGGTAGTGTCCGAGCGAGGCACTAAGATGCAACATACTCTGGCCATTTATGCCTCGAGTGTTGAGTCTTGCTTGATACGGGCTATCATCCAGGTCCACAATGTCCAGACAGCTCAGCAACGCTGCTTCTAGGTCCACAATACCGGTCATAGCGGCATTGAACGAGCCAGCATGGCGATGTTGATTGTTCCCTTGAATTGAACCACCCGTGAAAGACGAATTTGAGCCAAACTGGTTGATGATGTTTCTCGCAGCGTTGCCAGCATCAGTTGCATTGCCGTTCCATTTGCGGTTGATAAGGGCAAGTGCATGTTTCATGAGCTCCTGCTCATCATCGTCGACATACCTGAAGAGAGCCTGCTTGTTTGAGGGAGAGGGAATATTTTGCTCGTAATTATGTTTGAAAGTTACTGGCACCGTACCTGCTTCTAGAGCAGGAGGTACAAGGCAAACGAGAGCGCTCTCACCCCAGAAAGTGGTCGTAGTTGCTTGGGCGTCACCGAACATGACTTCCAGACCCTGGCGGAACCCACTTCCCAAGCACGTGACTTCAATACCCCCAGATTTGGAAGCTTCTCCAGGCGTCAGCTTATGGATGACTGGAGCCCTTTGGGGGTTGGCAGCCCCGGGAACACAATGTAGGGAATTTGCCAGCATTTGGGCATGACTTTGTGCTAAGCCGTTACTCAGAGGGCTGAAAGTAGGGCTCGGTACCCGGCTTGGGTGAACTGAAACCGGGGCAGAAAATACTCCCGAGAAGCCTTGGAGATTCTCCATGCTCTGAGATCGTTGAGCGGAAGAAAAGAAACTGCCGTCAGTTGCGGTTGGGGTAGGTGGATTTGTATTAAACTGTGGAGGTATCTGGGGCATCGGAAGCCCGTGACTTGGAGCAGCAAAGTTAGGCATGAAAGCTGATGTTATATTGGAGCCTTGTGGGGTAGATTGAGTTGTGGTGGAGACGCACGAAATGGGACTATTCGGCGTTGGATTTTTTAACTTGGTCATCGTCAGATCGTTTCGAATCCTGCCAGATCCGCTGGCTTTCCGCTTCTTGTTGTGCTGTGCTGAGGGTGCCGACGGGGATGCTTGACGTGACAGATTTCTAGGGGTCAGAGTTGCCGAAGTGGTTTGGGAAGGAAACTGGGGTATGGCAAAAGGACTTCTATGCTGTGGGTTAAAATGTTGCTGCATACCCTGTAGGTCCGTAGTCGAATAAGCATTTCGAAACGACGCTAGGCCATGACTCCCAGCAGGCGCCTGCGAGAAGACTCCTGCTCCGGGGACTTGAGCGTTATCAGGGAAGACCCCATTGTTGGGAGGCATCGCACCAGGTGGACCATGTGTTTTGTGGTCGTCTGTTATTACGATGGAATTTGTCATGGTTTGCGCAACCAGATTATTTTGATAATCTATGATAGTGAATATGACCCTGAAAACAAGTCAGCAATACCGTGAATCAATGGCAAGGCATTTCGCACGTACTGAAAGCCAATTTTCTCTTCCTGATGACGACAGTAACAGGCAATGCGCATTGGGATATCTACCTGCACGGCAGTTTCTGGAATTTTTGCATTTTGACCATAAGTGGCAGGATTCTGAGCATTCTCTCCAATTTTTGAAGGCGATGGTTCCTGCCATTCTTTGACTTCCTGGGTATTGAAAACGATCGTCCTTTTTGCTTCATCCCTTTGCCATAGTTGCTCTTCCTCGACGTTTTTCGTTTTCTTTCTAGCAGCCCGCTTCCGTTCTCTCTCGATGCACCCCGTGCATATATGCACTGGGCCACCGTTGGCAGGTTTGTCCTCATCATCTTCTGAGGATGTAGTCTCGCCTGAGGACGAACGGCGACCTTCCCTCTTTTCATCGGACGAAATTGTAGCAGCCCGGGCAAATGCTCGCCCTCGTTTTGTCTGATCCTGCATGGCACTAGTACACACAAGCATAGCATGCAACTCCAGCATGTCAGGCAATTTCTCTGGGGTCGGCTTCGCCACTAGTTTTGATTTGGAAATTGTATGAGTCTGCAGGTGTATTTTCAATATACCCGGCGGCACAGGGTGCAAGGTCAGTTTGACAGGAATTTGGGTCTCGACGCGCGACTTTGGTGGAAGAGGGTGCACGTGCAACATGGGCGGGTACGTAGGACCCGAAACAGGAGCAGGAGAGGCAAAAGGCATAGCCACTGCAGGCTGCTGGAAAATAGATGGTTGGATTGGGCTAAAAGCGCTGGCTGGCCCAGGAGCGCCGCTGTATGGCCAGTCCTGCGTCCGAGAAGGCTCGCTCAACATGGCGCCATTTATATACTGGCCGGAAAAGTCCATAGACGACCCCTGTGTATGGCCTGCAGCCGATGGCCAGTCGCCTTGGTTCTTTATCATGGATGACAATGGAGACGTCTCACGCGAGCTCTGGGAATCAAGCACGGTTCAGCTTCAAATTCGCCAATGACGCTTCTTTGAGCAATGACTTACCTTTGACACTGCCGGATGGGGCCCGAATCCATGGGTAAATCCAGCATTTGGAGAAGACCGGTAAGGCATCTTGATGGATCGGACCGATGAAGGTTTGAAAGAGGGCTTTGTATCCGAGAAGGGGCTGGGACTACTTGCAGCGCTATCGAAGTCGAAGTGACACTCCATAGCGCGGTTGCTGAGGTCAACGTCTGTGGCAGGCGAAGACTTGTCGCTCGCATGGTCTCCCATATCTGCACCTATGAGGATCCCATTCATCGAAACATCGCCATCACCAGCAAGCGCTCCGGACCGAGATGAGTCGGAAGAGTGGTTCCGCTTGTGTTGATTGTTTGAGGAATCAGACGCAGAGGAGGATTCTGGGGACTGCGAAAATGCAGGACCCATGAATGGCTGCTTGATTGCCTGTCTACAGTTGGTCTTGCTAGGCACTGGTGAGGCCCCAATGGTATTGTTCCAGAAGCCCGGAGAGTCGAACTGGAGTTCGGGGAACTCGAGTCCCCCTTCCTCCATTGCGTCGTTCATGTTGGCGTCGAAGATTTGAGGCTCGTCAAACTTGGGCAAAAATGGGAATGGATCGTTATCGAATTCCATTAGTCTGCGCAGGTGGTCGTTTGTCTCACCGAATCCGCAACGAATGCAGTCCTTGTGGTCCGTCTCTTGATAGTCCTATGCTACTTAAAGGTACTGAGCCATTGGGTTGGAACGGGCGGGTTCAAGATGGTATCTGCTAATAGGCAGTCTTCGAGTTTTCCTGGAAGTGCCTTCTCCGCAATCGCAGCTCCCCACTTTCAGAGTGCACGGATGACAGTAAACTCTCATCCCATAGCGATATCAAAAAGCCGAAGAGTGTCGAGATAGTTGACGCGACGCTAACAGAGCAGCGAGCGAAATGATTCTGTACACAATAACGAGAAGGAGTGTGATAGATCGGGCCTGCCTACGCAAGAGTAAGAATCCAACTCAGAGTTCGCGCAAACGTGGAGAAGAACGCTAATATAGCGCTATCTGAAGCCTTGGCATTATCCGAACTACGAGTCTCCTCAGCTTCACTTGCATACCGAATCAATTGACATATAGGATACGTATCATATAGCCTAATCGTCCGTCCGATGGTCATTTGGAACCGTGTCTTATATGCAAAGGGGCCTTATAACACTGTGGTATCGTATAATCTAGAGCGCTAGTCGCTGGCCTTACTAAGCTCGCTGTCGCCAACCAAATACCTAAATTTAAGGCGTAGAACAACGTAAATGTTCTGCATCTAGTGTCCTAAATTATCGTTTTCCTTACCTTATTACTCGAGCGCTGCTTGTATTGTTATTAAGCGACTTTTTGAACGCTGTAAAGATCAGTAATTATGATTATATATTGCGATTTTACTAGAATTAAGTAGGCTACTAACTTAGAGCCCCTTCGATAATCACATATTTTCAAAATATGCTAACATATATTACCTCACCTCTTGGTAAATAAAATGTAGACTCAAAAAAGCACTAGTAGACACTTGAAAATATATAAAATATAGATACGATTTCGTTCGATAACTCTATAATATCGCTAAGTAAGGATCGAATATAGTATAATCGAAAAATTCTTTTTAGTTAGATAATTTTTCTATTTATTATTTAATAATTTTATAGTTAATATATCTACTATTACTATATAGACTTTAATTATTATTAATACTTCTATTATCTTTATTATTATATTATCTTTTATTATAATAAAAAGAATAATATTAAATAGTAGTAAGAATAATATTAAATAGTAGTAAGAATAATATTTATAGCTATCTCTTTAAATAGAGAGTTATCTATAATTAAAATATAGTTATTATAGTTATAAAATATGACTATTAATTATAAAAATAAAAAATATCGCTATTATAGTTATAAATATCTATTATTTCTATATACTTAGCGTATATTAAGTCTTAAATTATAGATTAATCTATAATTTATATATTTTCAATACGTAATATAGTCTAATAAGTAAAAATATGATTATTAAATATAATCGTATATATATAGTACGCTAATTTGAAAATATATTAGCATATTTTGAAAATATGTAATTATCGAAGGGGCCCTTAATATTTTATAGTCTAATTATGACCTACGTCTGAAAATCGTTATTTTAAACGATATCTTATTTGCAAAAGGGTCTTATAATGCCATAGTATTTTATATATCAATTAATTCGGTAGTGCTTCTAAGATACTCGTACTATCCAGAAGTGAGTTACCTCGCTTAATAGCGCCGGGAGAGTTGACCAATCAAGCTACTTAGTTCACCGCGAAAATCGTAGTTTGATTGGTCAACTCTCCCGGCGCTATTAAGCGAGGTAGCTCACTTCTGGATAGTACGAGTACGTCAATAATTATAGGAATAGATTCTCAACCTTGTGAATCGGAAGGCTAATGAGGTCGAGCCGCCCACCGCAACTTTGACCCCCTGTGATATTTAGAATTCTCGGCCATGAAATGTTGCAGGAATTCTGCTATGACTACTTTTGCAGTGGAATTACAGTGGTTACTGTTGTCCCTCGTGGACAAGAATAGGTGAGGTGAGCGTATATGGTGCTTCCAGTCGGGCTGACCTCCCTTGATTTGACCTCTAACTCGGATCTTCATGTGGTTATGAATAAGTGCTCCGATTTGTTCCCTGCATCACGTTCCTGTTTGCTTTGACAATATGATGGTCTAAAAATACGATGTTGAGAAATTTCGTTGTTGAAAGGACTTTCTTTGCTAACGCTCATTCTGTGATTTTTAAAAGGGTCTGACCACAACTTCTTTCTCTATGGAACGCCTTTGCCGGCTCGAGTTGCTTTCTCGCTTTGGGCGGTGTTGTCCGCGCTGCAACGTGAAATGATCAGCTTCCGGTCTCATGTGGCACCAAACCGATACTTACTATCTCTGATAGATGAGAAGGTAGTATTGATTCTCGCTTGTAGTCTCTTTGATGATTCTTTTTTCCTCGATGGCAGCCAGCCATTTTTTCCACCTATTCCAGCTCCTCTCGTCGACGCCTCCCTCACCTTCATTTGGCAGCTCAAGACCGCCTTTGTAGTGATCAAAGACTCACAATCGTACTGCCCATGGAGTCATGACAAAGTCCACAAGTGATGCTCCCTTTCCCAGGAAGAAGAAGGAATTACCGTCCATTGCATCGGAGAATTGCTTCAAAGTATCTCAGAAGTCTGACCTGTCCTTGTTCAACGAACGGACTGGGATTGAAGGAAGCGACGGAAACTGGGTATAACACGCGTCGTAACAAAGTCGATCCAGATCCTCGCTCTGGCTCTTGAGTAAGGGTCCGCAGGGAGCAGCTTTGGTCCATGCTCTGGGTAAGTGTCTTCTAGGAACTCTAAGATGACGCTCGACTCGTAAAGTGGCTTGTTGTCATATTGAAGTGGCGGCACCAAGCCTCTCGCATTCAGTTCCAGGAGGCTCTCGGGCTTATGGTATGGATTTACTTCGATATACTGAGATGGGATACGTTTTTCTTCAAGGACTGTCCAAAAACGCTGAACTAGGGACATTTTGCGCACTTCTCGCCACGGAGTATAATGGAACGAACCAAAGGGACAGAACCAGCCGGCATAAAGCTTCACCGGCTGTGGCTCGTTGTGCTTGTTCACGAGGGTCTTGGCTGGGCCGGTAGCTTCGCCATACTCGTAAAGATCGGCGTCTGGGGGAGGTGGCATTCTGACGGGGGATAAGTTCTCGGTTTTTGCGCTGAGAAAATAGTAGATTGGACAGGAAAATGGACGTTGGTTTAGTCGGAGTTTCCCGAAACTGACGTAGTCTTGTCAGTTTTATTACAAGTAATTGTAGAAGTGGCACAAGATCCACCTATGGAAAAGCATAGCGTTACCATGCACGCAAACATAATCAAGCATACAGGGTGCGTTTTGCCATTCTTGACAGGTTAGGGAGCGTTAAATGATTAAGGAGTCATGTCATGACGAGCTGCCACTGCCAGACCAATGGGCAGCTCAGAGTATAAGCGCTGAAAACAGAGATTCGACTCCATCAAGAGCTTCATGCTTGCACATGATAAATCGAATACCCGGCCTGAAAGCCAAGGTTGTGCAAAGAAATGTATCAAGCCAGCGCGTCCGCCTCCCAGCCTGCTGCATCCTGTCACGGTCTTCAGGTCGAGGGGTCCTGCAGAGCCAAGTGGAAGATTCAGGCAAGGATAATAGTTTCGCCGCTCCGTTTGCTCCGATTGACCACCCCGAGGCTTGTGGCCGCGTAGCCAATCACAATGACCTTCCTCATGGAGAATTGAATAGTAGGTATCAAAACGCTTCCGATGGCCTGATGCCGGGCAAGAACGACCTTCCGCATTAGATGTGCCGCAGATCTTGCATCCCGGATCACGGGCTACGTCGTCTCAACAGCTTATCGTTGGTGCAGAAGGAAGGTACATTCCCTCAAAGGAACAGTGCCCGCCCGTGCTATCCCCAGAGTACTCCACTGTGTTGTCAAGGCCTGAGCGTATATAGGTAGGGTCGTAGAGTCGAGCTCTTCACTCTCTCCTTCATTATCACCCAAATACTCTGCATCCAATCATGTTCCTTCCCACTGTGGCTATCACTTTCTCTCTCTTTGGAGCGACCCTCTCTCAGTTCGTATCTCCACCCACCGACCTAACCACTGCAACAGGATATGCAGGTTTCAAAGTTCGCTATAAGCAAGTTCCGCCAGGAATATGCGAGCAAAGATCCGACTTGAAAAGCTACGCGTCAGTGGAATCTTTCCCAGCCATTTCTTGTTGATTCGTACTGCGTCTCGAATTAAAGATTTGTCGCATTAACGGAGCACCCATGACTCTGGTTACTTCCGGAAGGGACATACTGACTCTGACATAGGGGTTATGTAGACATTTCTCCTGACACGCATATATTCGTAAGCATGCCTGCGGAGTGGTCTTCCCCCAGCATATAAAATTATTCCGGTGCGACGACGACTTAAAAGAGCACAAATCTCGTTGGCCTTCCTTCTTCCTCTCTTGACTTGTCTCGGATAAGTCACGTTCCATGATGGAAGGGAATTCTAACCCGAAAAATGTCCAGTTTTGGTTCTTCGAGACCAGGAATGGTAACCCTACGAAAGCACCTTTGACATCTTGGTCAGGAGCCAGCTCATGTTCAACTTTCATACGCATACTAAAAACTTGAAGGATCAATGGAGGTCCCGGCAGCTCCAGCATGATAGGTCTTTTTCAGGAGCAGGGACCATGTCGTGTAAATTCGATTGGAAATGTCGTCAACAATCCATATGCATGGACTGAGGCCAGCAATATGATATTCATTGATCAACCAGCTCAGGTGGGCTTCTCGTACTCGGTGCCTGTGCCTGGTATGTATATTCGAAATTATCTCCTCCTACTTGATAACAGTATCTGGGGATCTGAATCGCAACGCATACTCGGGGAATCAAAAGGCTGGTTCGGTGTCATTTTACGCAATCTCTGATTTTAACAGAGGCTGACTGACTCTAAATGTTGCATAGGTTACATCAGCCCCGACGATGGGTCCGTTGTCCTCCTGCCGAACGGTACTTGTCCCAACGACAACATCACACAAGGCACGTGCGGGACATACTCAGATCCCAATGTCACGGACACGCCCACATCAACTTCAGCCGCAGCGCCCGCTTTCTGGGCCACTTTGCAGGGATTTATGGGGGCTTTCCCTCAATATTCGAGAGAAACCTTCCATTTTTCCACAGGTACGTATCGTCCTTTGTCCAGCCCCACCTCCGCACTGCTGACACCGAAATCTTGCCAGAGAGCTACGGTGGACACTACGGGCCGGTTTTTAATGAATACATCGAAAGTCAAAACGCTAAAGCCATCCCCGGTGCGCATAACATCAGCCTTGAGACGGTTCTTATTGGCAATGGGTGGTACAATCCTTTGATTCAGGTGAGCTCCTTGGAAACATGCTCCTAGGGACGATGAATTGATTTATCTTGCTCAGTATCAAGCATACTATAATTTTACGGTTACTTGCCCTTCCTGAAAGCAAAAGATGAATGACTAACAAGCGGCAGGTGTATCCGGGGAACACGTACAGTCTCAGGGAATTTTTTGCCCTTGACAGGGCTCAGGATTAGTAGATGCTGATTTCGTTCAGATATGACTACTTCCCCTACAACGACACTATCGCTGCCAAGGTGTATAAGAATCTCTATGTATGTATTTTCGGTGTCCGGCTTTCCTCTTTCGGACCAAGTCTTGAGTCTCCAGAGAAGTCTTAGGAGTTCCGACTTTTTAGACATGTTCCACGGCTTAATATACCCCCTTCAGGAGGGCCATACTGACTCTGAGAAAGGGAACGGGCAATTGTGTCGACCAATGTGAGCATTTTCGATGAGGTAGTAAACTTGCTACCGCTCTATGAAGTCTCAAGACAGCTCTTTGAAGGGCTTCGAATACTCTTGCTGTTTTTGTTTAGTCCTTTCAATAGTCTCATGACCCATGTATTTTAGACTCAAGAAATACTGACGGGGATTCTAGTAAATGAATGCGCTGCCACGGGCAGCAACGTCATATGTTCGGCCGCCGACAATTACTGTGCGGATAATGTCGAGTCAATCTACGATGAGGTCTTGAATCGAGACGAGTATGATATCCGAGAACTTGAGCCTGACCCGTAAGCCATTCTAGTCATCAGCGCCAATTTGCTTACGGTCCTTGGACATCGGGAAGCCTGATGCCTTGATGAACAGTTTCCCCCCGGAGTTCTACGTGGCGTACTTGAACACGCCAATTGTGCAATCGGCCATTGGTGCATTCCAAAATTATACAGAATACTCAGCAGCGGTGGGAGATGCGTTCAATACTACAGGTGATGATGGAAGAGAAGACGGAACCGTCGCAGACATGTTGGAACTGCTGGAACAAGGTATCACGGTATGCTTGCCTACATTCTGTTTCTTAGCAAAGTCTTACTCTCAGCAGGTCATGATGTATACGGGAGATGCAGACTATAATTGTAGAGCCCACCCAAGTGTTTGCCACGGACAGTGCTAAACAACAAATAGGCAATTGGCTCGGCGGCGAGGTGGTCAGTATCGAAATAGGACAGCCGGGCTTCAATTGCAGTGGCTACACCAATGTCTTAACGTCTGATGGCATTGTTCACGGCCAAGTCAAGCAGAGCGGCGCGTTTAGTTTCGTGAGAATCTACGAGAGCGGACATGTAAGTTTGTCGAAATCCAGATTTACCCCTTGTACCAAGATTTGGGCCGGATACATATGTCGGGAGTGTTCGGTCATAAACATGGTCCTTGGCTTAGATTCCCATCTCGATCAGGCTATGCTAATTCCAAGATCTTCATTCAGGAGGTACCATTCTATCAGCCAGAGATAGCATTGGCTATCTTTGAAAGAGCGATAGCAGGATTGGACATCGCTACGGGATTGGTCAATGTGACTAGTGGCTACCGAACATTTGGCCCACCCACAAGTGACTACAGGGAGGGCAATGCCACCGTCCAATTTGAAGTCGTCAATACTAATACGACATACAACACCACTACCAACGAGCCTAATCCGCCTTTAATGGGTCGTTTTGCAAAAAGGCAAGGCGAGCAGTTACACTACGGGAAGGTTTTAAAGCCAGTGAAGCTATGAGTGGACTGTAAAACGGGTCAGTACTTGCAAGACACAGTTGCATTACTAAAGGTCGCTCAGCGTCCGTGCGTGGCTTGGAATAGACCATGATCAGTCAGTAAGCTAGCTCGAAATCGTAGGTTTGATAGATAAAGGGGACTGAACGCCCGAGTACTTGCTTGTGTTTACTACCAAAGTGGTGAACTTTTCCCCCTCAAAAGTCCGCTTTGCGTCAAAGATTGGGGAACAATGAAGATATTCTGGCATCAGTACCTGTCCGCTCGTAGCGACATCACGAGCTTCCAGGTCCAGATCATAAGGCTAAGTGTCCGAAAGACTGAGCAACTCACGGCCGTTCAACCAACGTTCTGACTTGATCCTCGCAAAGACCAAAGATGGGTCGGCTTATTTAGCCGAGAATTCTTTGGGTTTAGGGTGAAGCCGCTTAGACTTGCCGCTTGGCAAAGGCTCAGTTCTCTGCTAGCCTTTGAGTTTGAATACTTTAGTTGCTGCTCCAAGCCATTGAATGGGCTCTCCGTCAAGCTCAACCACTAAACCATCTCAGCCGGTCAATGCGTTACGTGGTGCGTACGACGGTGAAGGGGGCCATCTTGTCTCACTTCCCACCAAGGTCGAATTACAATCCAGTTGCCAAACCATCGAGGTCTTTGTCGCTACCATTCCTCTCAAGTCCGCAAGCACAGTCTTGAAGTACGTGCTTCTGTTAGCCTCATACATGACCTGACTAACATGTAATGCAGGCTCGTCCAAGCTGCCATTCAAGATGCCGCCGCTGCGAATCTACAGCACCTGAGGAAATTGGTCAAACCTGAACATCTGCCCCCGTGTCTGAGGCGCCTCGGAGAGATCTCGGAATCTCACAACCCTGCCACTGAGCCAGCAGGCTTGCCAAGATTTCCCAGAAATTATAATGGCAGTGTACCCAACGGCTACCAGACCGCTACATTTATAGCAGTCAATGGCCATGCAGAAGCGTCGCAACAGCCTGCCTTGCATTACCTTGTCTGCCCAACATCAGTGGTGGCCGTTGAAGATCTTCACACAATCTTCTCGTCAATGGAACCTTCGCTAGGCGTCGACTTCGAGCCACATCTCCGCATCATACCAGTGCCTCTGTATCCGCCTTCTTCAGAAAAGCAAGCGAAGGACTGGAGCCAAGAATACTGGCCAACGGTGTACAAGGGTGGAAATCCATTCGGTCCACACCCTGCTCTGGTGTCCCGTGCTCTAGAAGACGTACACAGTCGCACTGGAAGATGTATGAGCCTCGCGAGGCGCGCTGGGGAGGAAGTCTCGTTGGCTGCTAAAGGAGAACCCATCGGCGCCGTCATTGTTGATCGCAGCGGAGGCGAAGACGCCTCCATCATTGCGGTAGCTGGTGATGCACGTTGGCACCATATGGACAAAGCTGAAGAGCCAGGGAGTGGGAACGTCACGGCTCATGCTGTTATGAGAGCAATTGGCATGGTAGCAAGGAAGCGACGAGCCCCGCTACACAAGGGGCTGGCTGCTGAACTTTACTCCGAGGAATCGGATCTTGACGCAGACCGTCCGCTGACTCCACTGGAGAGTGACGTGTACACTGCTTCCACAGTGGCACGCGACGGATACCTCTGCCTCGATCTGGAGCTATATATTACTCACGAACCGTGCGTCATGTGCTCGATGGCAATCTTGCACTCGAGATTTTCCAGGGTCATCTTTGGGCAACGCATGCTACGTACTGGAGGTCTTACTGCGGTCTCACAAAATAACAGTGGTTTCGACATCAAAAACGATGATCAAGGTTTGGGTTATGGTTTGTTCTGGCGACAGGAGCTAAACTGGCGCCATCTTGCATGGCAATGGCTTACCGACGATGATTTGCAAACATGTATCAGTAGCCAGGACGTACATATCTAAAGTCGAAGAGGCTGATCGAGGAGCTCATACTCTTTTATCGTTAGTTTGCCTCATCTTGCCTTGATCGACCCTTTCGCGGGACGATCGTTCAGTTCATAAGTAGACTTTTTCTTTCTCTTCACTTCTTACCCATGATAAATATGTGCAAGATGCCTGTTACGATCACATGAAGGCCTGCTTCATATATGATCCTCCAAAATGTTGACCAAGATCCGTGAATGCCTCCGGTTACAGTAGCCATGAGCGTTACTGCGTGACTTCGTATTTTCAAACCTGTAGAAAGCACCCAAAATGGACTTCTATCTGTACATCTCACCCATCCAAGCCAAAGAAGTGTAAGTCCAAGCAAAGCGTCACCACGACGATACAGCTCAACCGTCATCGCCATTGAGTTTCGACACAGCAAGACCGGACTGACTGAATGATAGCTGCACGTCCATGATGCAATGAAAGGAGTGGAGGATTTTTTTGGCATCGCTTCGTACTGTTTAATAATCCTCCTGGGGAGGACCTAGTGCAGCTCATGTGGAATGTTCCTTTTAGGCACTGGCTTAGGCTACTGCTACTGCTACTGCTGATGCAGACTAGTGAAAAGGACTCTTTTCGAGATTAGTCTTTTGTAGAATTGTCCGGCCGGCAACTCGAGCTTTCTTGCTCTTTGTTGGTTTCGATGCTATGTGTGTTAGTACTCGGGCGGGCACAGTACTACAATTGTTAGTGGTAAGGGACTTTTTCGTTTCCCTGTCTCGGGATGATGCTAGCGATCAAAAATGCTAGACAGGAGATGAGGGCACTGAGGATGGTGGCAGTCGAGGAAGTCGCACGGTGTGAAGACTCGTCTTTCCTATCAGAGAATTTTGGCCTCACGAATCAGGTCAGGATCGACCCTTGGTACTTCATCGACACCAAACCAGACCTCGCAGAAATGGGCTTCATGTCGTGCTAATGCCTGAAGGGACTTACTGTCAAATTCTTTCATCTGAGAGTTGCTTTGACGGCCGGCACTAGAAACCGTGGCCCCGGATCGTGGAGTCTCAGCAATTGCTGGTTCGACAGTGCGTGATGAAGAAACCATTTGGCCTTTATCATCTACGCGGTTTTTCCTATTACCTCCGTAGAGGTAGCTGGCAGTCTGTCCCTTGGTGGTGGGATCTCCTTGGAAGGCGATCGGTGTTCCCAGTCATCTAGGCAATTTGGTCGTGGATGCTCGCTTCGACAGGTTTCGCAACATTGAAGAAAGGTGTTCTCGGATTTCATGGCAATTCAACATATGTGGCTGATACCCCTATATTCTTAGGGCCCCTTCGGTAACCACATATTTTCAAAATATGCCAACATATTTTCAAATTAGCGTACTATATATATACGATTATATTCGATAATTATATTTTTACTTATTAGATTATATTACGTATTGAAAATATATAAATTATAGATTAATCTATAATTTGAAATCTAATATACGCTAAGTATATAGAAAAAATAGATATTTATAATTATAATAGCGATATTTTTTATATTTATAATTAATAGCTATATTTTATAACTATAATAGCTATATTTTAATTATAGATAACTCTCTATTTAAAGAAATAGCTATAAGTATTATTCTTATTACTATTTAATATTATTCTTTTTATTATAATAGAAGATAAAATAATAATAAAGATAATAAAAGTATTAATAATAATTAAAGTCTATATAGTAGTAGTAGATATATTAGCTATAAGATTATTAAATAATAGATAAAAAAAAAATTAATTAGAAAGAATTCTTCGATTATATTATATTTAATTCTTACTTAATAAGATTATAGAGTTATCGAACGAAATTATATCTATATTTTATATATTTTTAAATATCTATTAATACTATTTCAAGTTTACATTTTATTTACTAAGAGGTAGAATAATATATATTAATATATTTTAAAAATATGTAATTATCGAAGAGGCTCTTAATTATTAAAAAATAAAAAAGTTCTCGTAAGTACTCCTCTTTCGATAATTGAAAAATGAAACTTCTAAAATAACTTTACAACGATAAATTATAATTTTCTAAAAACTTTACAATTATTAGAAAATGTAATAAAGACTACGACGTTTAATTTTTAGAATATTCTAATTATCTACTATATAGTAAAATAAAAATCTATTAAATTCTTAAGATTTTTCGATAAGTCTTAGCGATTATAGAATAGCCGAGGTAACTTTTTAACGTTAAGCGTATATTCTTAATTTATACTATATCTTACGATATCTAAATTAAAATCTTCTAAAATTATTAGAATTAATTATTTAGTATTATAAGAAAAGATTATAAAGATTATAGATTATTATAAAGACTGGTGGTTGTAAAGATATTCAAGAATTTTCAATTTTTGGTTTTCGAGGGGGGGGTGCTTGCGGGAACTTTTTTGTTTCCCAATGATTAAGAATATAGGGGTATGACGTGCATCAGGCGCTCGCAGTTCAATTCTCCATGCATCGGGTCGGTCAGGTCGCAACACTGCGTATGGACCAAGTTGGCCGACGTTAGTGCAGAGATCACGCGCCCTCAGAGAGCCAGATACCGCTAGCTTAGACATCAGTATGACCATGATGCATTAGGGTTGGAAGATCCAACCATCTGCACTCAGCGTCCCATGACCAGCGCTCACACCCGTTCTTGTACTCTCTTTAACAAGTTCATCGGGAGACGAGCCTTTTTTCCTGGCTACAACTGCTGCAAGCGTCACGACAAGCCCAATTTGAGTGCTGGAGAGGGCCAATATTCCAGGGGCACTCGGTTTGCCAAATGACGGTGGTCCATCTTGGTGATCCATGCCAATCAGGCAGCAGTATAGGAGGTAAGATGAGAGCAGAAAGAATTGTGATGAATTTAAGATGATAGTGAAGGTAAAATGTGTCCTACAGCTCGCGTATATACGGACTTAATTACATACGCGCTAATAATCTGTGGAAATCCGTTTTTGAGCTTTTGCCTCCAGACTTCTTGCTAGTAGTAATAGGAGTCATGGGCCCACATCCATCGGCTTGCAAGCTGCTGTCCCTTCCATGTTGGCCTCTCACGTGCGGTCAAAGCTGAGCTTGCCATTTTTATGCCAACGCTTGGCTATTGCTCCCTATAGATAAATACAGGCCCGGAGGCGGCTTGCTCCTGTCGGACTCAAGCCGAGCTGGGATTTGGTACATCCGAAACCCCTAATATACGCACCCTCTTTCCTCGTATTTCTGTCCACACATTGGCTTAGACCACTTGCTTTAGAGCTCAAGCGCTAGCCTAAGCCACGGTTTCTTGCAAGGTGTAACTCAACTGTGGGCTTCGACTTGACTCCTCAACTTCGTCTCTAGACTTAGTCTTGCATCTCTTTTGCCGGGCCTGTCCACAGCTGTACCTATTCTAGCTCGAGCTAGAGACGGACTCTGAATATCTCCGCGCCCGACTGGGCAAAACGCAAAATATCAGGTTGGCCCTTTTTTCGATATAGGAGGTAGACGAGGCATCGCAGTGATGCAGGGTTTGTCAATCCTCGGCTTGCATCTATGGTAGAAGACAACTTTGATACGGTGCAGTGAAGAACACTCCTAAACGGCTACGGTGTTCTTTGACGAAGAAAAGCAACCAAGTCAAAAGGCTGTTACAATTCAAGGTCTCGTACTGGTCATGGTCATCATGGATACGCCAAGAAGGCCAGCATCGACGCGACATGTCGACGATATACGCCAAGCTTTGACGGTCGTAATTGATCTATGCCATACAGCTACTCGACAATCAATGGGTGACGCTTTTCTCAAGGGCATGAAGTTATGAAAGCGGCAATAGTATGCGGGACAGCAACATTCATAGCTTCGACGATACCCACATATTCAAGTTCTCAAGACTAGCTGGTCCGTCGTATAGACCTGTTACCCTAAAGCTCTCGTGTTGATCTGATCGTCGACGAACTTTCAGCTGGATTTTACAGTGATAGGTAGGAGACCTACATTTTGGGTACCGAGTTCATCTATAGTGTTAGCTCCTAAAAGTCGCATTGCAGTCTGTAGCTCTTGGTCTAGTACTCTCATGCCGTCAGCAACCGCTGAAAGCACGTGTCCTTCGATATCTTACTCTCTAGAGTCCGCTCAACACCCGCAACACCACCTGCTCCCAGCCCAAATAATGCAGCTCTTCCTATGCCGATCCCCCTAGCCCCAAGGAAAAGGGCTTCGACCACATCTGTTCCCCTTTGATACCGCCATCTACAAGGACTTCGACCTTCTGCAAGACCGCCTGGCAGTACTTGCGTATTTCTAATAGCGTATGGATTGCAGGCAGTGCAGTATCCGCTGCCCTGCCGCCATGATTGGACAAAAGAATGCCCTTAACCTGTGGAGCATGTAGTGATGCCAGATAGGCATCCTCGTGAGTCTGAATGGCTTTGAGGAGTATTGGCAATTTCGTGTGCTCAGCAAGCCAAGGCATAGTGTTTTTCCAAGTCAAGTTGGGCGAAGTACCTGCGAACAGCGATTTACCAATACCACCTGAAGTTGCTTTGCTGGCAGAGCCTGATTGAGCTGCTGACGTGAATGGAAGGATTGACCCCACGTTTTTGGACCTTTCATCATCCTCTCGCTTGCCCGGAACAGGTGCGTCAAGTGTAAGACAGACGAATTTGATGGTCGGGATGGCGATTCTTCGAGCAAGCATATCCTCACTCTTCTTACGATCTGTCTGGCAATACATCTGTCAGCCAAAAGCTTGTCCGGGCTCGGCATCAGCCACAATTTGCTCGGGCGTCATCGAGGCGTTGTTAGATATCATCTGGAGAGCTGTGAGACGAAAACAAGCCCGAGCGATGCCTGCTTTCCCAGCGGCACTGAGGAGCTAGACGTGAGTTGAATGTTCACTGTCGTGGAAGAATTCAGAAAAGGGAAGGAGTGGGGCGTAAGTACTCCGCCAATCTAGCCATAGCTGCCGGTGACACGAATACTGGCAAGCCAACCTTGCATCCCATGATAGTGGTGGAGGGATTACAAAGCTCACAATCAACGAATATTCGAGGCCGGAGGAGTATCGATCGGTACACTTCGTTGTTCAGACGCTTCGATATGAGGTCGTCCCCAGCACTATAGTAATAAGCCCACGCTTTTCGACTAAGTTGTTTAGTTGCAACATCTTCGATCTCGTCCAGGTTCAGTAGGCTGTCAAGGGGCGGAGCTCTATCCTCAAGGCTCTTTTCCTCCTTCTCTGCCTCCTCCCTTGTCAAGGTGTTGGGGTCAACTGTTCCCCGTCTGTCCTCGTTTGAAAGGTATTCTTCCAGCGTGCCCGGGGGATACACAGGCTACACTTGAGGTTAGAGGGAGCGGAACAAAGACAGAAAAAGCAAACACACATCGTACTCTTCAGTAGCGTTTTGGCCAGCGAGTCCCAAGATCTGTGCATTATTCAAGGCCTCGAGCATTGATGCGGAAATTTAGGCAACGTACAATCTTGCTGCCTCCTGGATGTCGTGGGAGGAAAGTTGTGACCTGATATTTGGTATGATGCGTTGATATCAGATCGAAAAGATAAACCCGGGAGGAAGGTTTACATCGTAAACGTTGCCGTAGAGAATCACCTGCCGTATCAATATAATTAGAAGGTGGTGTCTTCATGTCCAATAGGAGCACATCGTACCCAGCAGCTTTCAACGCTGGAATGCTTCCTGACTGCATTTGAAACCGGTTAGACACGCGCCCATATGCGGAGAAAGATTAATATGTGCTGGGGCGCGGGCTACCCAGTAGTGAAAAGCTAGCCAAGTATTGTAGAAATATTAAGAATATCGCTATAATTAAATATATTTACAGTACTACATTTGATTAATTCTCTAAATTCTCCCTATAACGATATCTAAGAAATAGATTATATCGTCGATTAATCTTAGAATATATAAGATTCTATATAGTCTTATAATTACCGTATCAAATTGCAATAGATATCGCCGAGTAAATATATATATTATAATTAAATACTAATCGTTCTAAGAAGACTAAATAAGACTCGCTTTATATTTAAGAGTATATATTCTTAAGAGCGTTAAGTAATTACTCGTAATATATATCGTCGTTATCGTCGTTATCGTTATTCTCGTAATTATCGTTCTTATCGTTCTTATCTTTATTTATAATAACGATATCGATAATATTATTATATAGCTTTAGAATAGTATTATATTTATAGAGAATTTAAGCGTCTTTTAGCTATTTTATTATACTTCGAAGCTCTTTATCTCGCTATTATTATTAAATATAAATAGAATTCTTATAGTCTTTCTAAGTAAGAAGATTATAATCTTAATATAAATCTTATATATTAAAGATTAGATATTATATAAAATCTTAATAGCGAAATTTAAGATTATTATATCGATAAGAAAAATCGAGAAGAAGTATAGTAGACGATTTATTAAAGCCTTTAAATATATATTAAGAAGATTTATAAGATATTATAGACTAAGATTAATAGCGTATTATAATATTATAAAATATAGAATCTCGACGTTATTATAAATTTTATTAATTTCTCTAAAATTATAACTAATTTTGAAAGCGTAATTAGAAGAGAGTATACTCATTTTTCTATTATTAACGCTTTTTTTAATAACGATTTATAATACGTATAGTAATAGAAGAAGAGATATTATAATCGAAAAGTTTAAAAGAGTTAACTAAGATATAATTTATAGAGATAGAATTCTTTTAAAGAAGAAATAAAGAGAGACGAAGATAAAGTTAAGATTATTAATAAAATTTAATATTCGTAATTAAGAAATTTAATTACTTTTTAAATAGATATCTAACTTTCTCGATTTAAATCTTAGTAGTACTTTTTAAAACTTATCGATAGAAAGAAAGCTAGCTTTCTAATAAATATATATTAATAATCTAAAATATAATAAAAGAATAATAAAGTAAATCGACTATATATAAGAGTGAAAGTACTCGAAGCGAATTAATAGGCTCGCTTACGTCGCTTGCTAGATTATAAGCTATATAGCTAAGACGAGTATTTAATATACTTAGCGAAGTTTTAAATACTTATAAATCTTTCTTTCTCTTCTTTTTTTTTAATTTATTAATTAATCTAATAATTAATCTATTTATTCTATTAACTATATATCTAAATCTTATAATTATATAATTACTATATAGTTCTATTAAAAGAGATCTTATTATTTTATAATTCTAATAACTTTATTTATATGAAGTTATCTAGTTTAATTATAATAAATAATTTATAAATTAATTCTATTAACTTACGAAGTAGAAACGTTTTATTATAATTAATTAATAACATTTTTAATCTAATAAATAACTCTTATTAAAATATATTTACTACGTAATTAAGTAATTATAATATTAATTCTAATATTAATAAAAATTTTAATAATATTATCGATAGAAATAATAATCGCCGAAGCGTTATATCTAATAATCCTTTATTTATAAATAAAGACCCTTATTTTATAAACTTAATTTAAATTTAACGCTATTAATTTTTAAAGCTTAATATTAAGAAGTAACTAGTTATTAATAAATTTAAATTAATTGAAATATAGAATATATAAAAATATCGTTATAAGTATAGCGATAATTATTATTATAATTCGAGCTATAAAAAAATAACTATGATTAAAATATTTAATATATAATATCTTAATAACTATAGCTCGATAGTTATATTTCTTTAAAATTATAATAATTTTATCGTTTTAATATTTTATATTAATTTTTATATAAATAAAGAAAAGATTTACTAGATTTCTACTCTCTTAATAGATATTAAGAAATAAATCTAGAGAAATATTAAAGATATAATATTATATAATATTAGAGAATTTATCTAAAAGAAATATAAGAGATAATATTTAAACTAAGTTTATAATTTAGTTATTAAATCTTATAATATAGAATATTAGTTAATTAAAGTAATTATAAAAAATATATAATTAATAGCTAGCTTTAATAATTATCTTATTATACTTTAATTATAGCGAGATTATTATATAATTAATTTAGAATATATAGAAAATCTATAAAATAGAGTAATAAAGAAAATTTCTCTAAAAGCTATAAAGAAGGCTACTTAATCTATTAGCTATATTATATTATTATAATAATAATAGAATATAAAATAAAAATTATAAAAAATAAAAGAGCTTTTTATTTTAAATAAAACTCGCTTTAATAATAAGATAAGTAATTAAAAAAGTAATAATTAATAATATATTAAGTTTAAGAAATAGAATATAAAGAGTTAATAAGATTAAAAGAAGAGTTTATTTTTATTAATATTATAAGATTAAAAGTTTAAGTAAATTAAACTCGAAGATAGCGACTCTTATATTAAATTTAAGATATCTTTTATTAAAATATAATACTATAATTATAAATAGCTAAAATATTATAAAAATTTATTTAAATATTTAAATTATATTATAAATAATAAAGTATATAATTATAGATTAAATAAGAGAAAAGATAAAGTTTAATACTTATCGCTATAATATTAAATACGCTATTAATTAAATAATAATCTCACTCTCTATTATTAAGAGATAAAATTATTATATTAAATAAAAAGTGTAAGATAATTATCTTAGTAGATATCGATAATAAGAAAATCTTTATATTATAATCTTTTATTAAAGAGATATAGATTTCTAAATCTAAATACGCGCTAATAATAATATATATTATTAATAATTATTAAATACTCTTATATAAGAAGTATAATCTAATTTTTAATCTCGCGAATAGTCGAGAAAAAAAGTAAGAGTAAACTTTAAAGGCGTATATTATAAATATATAAGAATATAATCTTATTCTTAATTTTCTTTAAATTTATAATATCGATTTGAATATTTATTAGCGTAAGTAATTTTAGATTTATCGTAATTTTTTTATAAATAATAAAAAGTAAGTAGATATTATAATAGTGAATATAAAGTAATTTATATTATTAATTAATATAATAATTATATATAATCTAAAATAAGCGTTTATTATATTTTTATATTATATTTTATTTAAAAGTAGTAAGAGTAATTATAATAAAGCTATATAGTGTGATATTATATAGCTAAACGACTTTAATATATTTAAATAACTTAAAAATTTATTAGAAGTCTTTTTAAAAGAATTATTTAATAGTTTTAATATGTATAATTAGATTAAGTATTTTATCGATTTATTATCTAAAAAGCTATCTAAAAGCGATTTAATTTATAATATATTATATAATAAACTCGTAATAATTAAGAATTATTTAAATATTATATTTAAGAGAAAGTAAATTTAACTTTTAATTAATTAGATTAATTTATTAATACTATTTATTAAGAAATTAGATAGCTCGCTATAATTATATATTAACTATTAAAAATTTAATAAAATAATTATTAAGAATAATTACTTATTATTATTACTCTTAAAATTTTTAAAAAGATTTATATATATAAAGTACTTTATTAAGATTAAAATTTATAATATATATTATAGAATATAAGTATAAAAGAGAGATAAGTAGAAAATTATTTTTCGAATTCGCTATAATTAGTTTAAATATTAAATAATATCTTTTAATCTTATAAATACTTTTATAATTTTTAAATTTATATAAATAAAGTATTTAAGTTATATATTAATATCTTCTATATAATATACTTAAATAATATATTAATCTATTTTAAAATAAAAGAATTATATTAAAAATATATATATAAAGTATTACGCGTATTATTAAAGTATCGACTTTATATAAAGTTATTAAAATATACTTTTAATCGTAATAAGATTATTTTTTTAGAGTTTTTAATAAATTAGCGCGATATTTAAATAAAGTTATTATATATTAAAACTATTATTAAGTAATTAAAATTAAAGTCTATTAAAGATATTTTATTTTTCTAAAGTTTATAAACTTCTATTAATAGTTTATATAAGGCTTTTTATAGATAATTATATTTTTAATAAATCTGATTTAAAAAGTAAAAAAAAACGAGATTAGATTATTCTTCATATTTAATAAAAAAGTATATAAGACTTTTAAGATACTTAAGCGAGTATTTATTATCGTATTTATACTAAAATACTATAATTAAAAAGTATTATTTATTATAAAGATTAATATTTCTAATATAAATATAAATAATATATTTAATTAATTAAGCGAGAATAGATAATAATACTTTATTACTTTTTTTAATTATAAATTTAAAAATATTAAATTTCGCTAAGATATATATAATTATATTAGACTTTAAAAATTAAAAATATTACTTATAAAATAGTAAGTATTTTATTTATATAATTTTAGATTATAATAATTTATATTATTTTATAATAATAAAAGAGTTTAATATAAAGTAAATTCGCTAGATTAAGAAATTAGTTATATTTAATTTTATAATTAAATAGT